CCCAAAATAATGGGCAATAACTGGATTTCCTACTTACCATCAGATTGATAAACGCATCGCCTACTTGAGTGACGCATGGAAGACACACATGTCTAATAAAGACGACTATGAAAACCTAGAAGTTGCCAGGGGAGCCGTCAGCGACCCAGTGAGGTACGATTATCGTCGCTTGAAGAATTTTCTAGCAATTTTTGGGCAATTTTTCAGCAATTCAGCGATTTCAGGATAGGACTAAACAAGGACGGGGACGAGTCGTTCTTCGCGCGAGTGAACACACTGAAAGACAAGGTTAGCGGCAAAAACCTTTTCCATGGGCCCGCTTCGTCTACTGCCCATCCCACATGGCTCGCTTGGCACACCATGGCAAATTATTCACGTTGCATCCCACCCCTGAGGCAATCACCCACACTTAGGCGACGTTGCGCGATGCGGGCGTTGACGGTGATGGCATCCGCAACGCGACCGCTCGCCGCGTTGCCTTTAAATGAGGCTCATTACGCCAATAAAGTTCTCCAGGATAGGCATATGGTGCGCTAATTTTTAGAAAAATGGGCCATTTCTTTTCCATAAAGGACTCTTTGAGTTCACGTCCATGGGGAGGAGGGAACATTCAAAACTGGGGTGATGGTAGGCGGCACTAACTTCAAGCCTATGAGACGGCAGCAACGTTAGGGAAAACACAATCTGCTCATCCTCCCCCACCCCTCAAGTCCTTCCCCTTCTTGAGGGTTTAGTTCGGCGCTGCAGGTAGCTCTCTCACTTCAATGTCCTCCCTCCCCCTCCCCCTCGACGAAGATGAGCTCCGAATTCTTATAGGTGGCAGAGCTGGTGCTTCTTGACGAACAGGCAGCTGAAGCTCACAAAAAAGCGGCAGCCGATAATAAAACCTTAAATATGGCAGCAGATATGGTAGGTCATCATGGTAAGATTGGCAGCTTCATCGAGCTGATGGCGGCTATTTCAGCTTAAAGAAGTGGAGGACCGTCAACGAGTAATGCTAGCGAATAATGAACACTGCTTTTCGGAAGAAACTCATGTAATCGTTCCTTATCAAATGCATTGCCATGAAGTCAATG